CAGAAAAATATAAATTACAGGAATAAAACAGTCATGACAGACTCATTATCTGAGGGGGTGTGTGCAAAGTGAGTCATACTCAGTCATTAAGTCCAGTACAGGAAAAAAAAATCAATGTACAGTTTCCACTGGTTATTATTTAGCAATGATTGAGAGGTGGAGTTGTATCAGGTGCAAACACAAACATGGATACTTATCATGATTGTTGCGAGCAGTGATGGTTATAGAGTCTAACAGCTGATGGGAGGAATGATCTGCGGTAACGCTCTTTTGTGCGTTTAGGATGCAGCAGTCTGTCACATAGGAGCTCTYCCGATCAGCTACAGTTCCATGCAATGGGTGGGAGACGTTTTCTGTGGTGAGCTGCTAGTGTGCTCTGTTTAGCATTTAGCTTCCATTGTGCTCCTTTTAGCTMCCTTTGTGCTCCTGTTAGCTTTAGCGCAGTCAAACGTTGAAGGGAAATTGACCACAGCCCTTGGGGGAAAAGGGGGCTAGCTCAGGCTTGTTTGTTTTTCATGTTGTTCCAAATTACAACCGTGAAATATTTAAACCTAACCAAACAGGTTGTTAAATAAGCTCTTTGAAACATTCGGCGGTTTGGAAAGAAGTGGGCTTTTTAAGGACACAAACTACAACAAGGAACTGAGAACGCATTTTCCAAAACCTAAACAAAGAAATGTGACATTAATGTTTCACAAAACAAGAAAGACGAGCAGAATTTAATCTTTGAAGAGTGATTCAGTAAAGAGTAATAAAATATGATATGATAGGAGATATGATGAGGGTAACTGAAGACTGCTAAWGGGGACAAAAGAAACCAAACTTGTTTCTGAAACCAACAAAGAGAAAAACTGTATCGCTWAAAAAATAGATTGAGGYCTTAACTGAAAAACCAAATGTAGAACAAAAGAAAGACATGGAACATGATTCAGCAAACATAAAAAAAGAACAAACTTCAAAACATATCATATTCACTGCTTTTTGTTACACTCTAAATGACACTGAGGGATAAAACCGTCTTTATTCTTCTATCCTATTCAGTTCTAAATACTTTTATTTTTATATTTATTTTGTACTTTCTTGYTTTGAATTATTATTTATGTCAGAATTTTCTAAATCTACCTCTGGTGCCTCACTTCCTGTCACTTCCTTTAGCTTTAACATGTTACAGTTTAAACCTTTAACAACTAATTTTTCTGCTTGTTTGTCCTTTGTCCTTCATGCTTTGTTTTGTTTCAATCACGTGTAAAACACTTTAAGTTACTGTTGTTGTATAAAAGCTGTTTTGTAAATAAAGTTTGATTGGTTGACTGTTTGCATTTTTAGTAAATTTCTGTTAATAAAAGTGTCTAAAATGCCACCCGACCATTTTCTTCCTCTTATCCAGAATCAGGTGTTGGGGGCAGCAGCCTAAGCAGAGGCCCAGACTTCCCTAAACCCCAGCCATTTGGACCAGRTCYTCCGGGGGAATCCCAAGGAGATGCCAGCTGAGAAACACAGTCCCTCCAGCGTGTCCTGGGTCTTCCTCTGGGCCTCCTCCCAGTGGGACATGCTTTAGAGTACAATGTGTAAATGATTTGGACAAAAGAAAGTAAATTGTTAAGTAGGATACAAGATATAAAGAGACTGAAACTAAAAAAAAATACAGATTTATTTATTTTATTTATAACCTTTATTTAACCAGGAAGTCCCATTGAGATTAAAAAACTCTTTTTCAAGAGAGACCTGGCCAAGATTGGCAGCAGCAGCAAATGCATAGTTTCACATCTTAAAACAAGTTTAAAAACATCAAATGGAAAAACATTCAAAGATTTAAATTAAAACAAATCAAAAACAAGCGCAAGTTATGGAGTCAGTTTCAAGACCTTTCAGTTTTGATTTAAAAGCACTCAGTGAAATCAACTCAGACAGTTTCCAGTCTTTCTGCTTCCATGTAGAAGGTGCAGAATGAAAAAAAAACCTTTCTTCCCAGTTCAGTCCGAGCAAATGGATCAGAAAGCATCAAAAAGTCTTGAGAGAGGATGGAGTAAGAGACAGTGCTTTTTTTCAATCAAAGTACAAATGTAAGAGGGAAGAAGACCACATATTGCCTTGTATATGAAAGTATACCAATGGCAGAGCCTTCTGGTGGCCAGAGCAGGCCATTCTACCCTTGAGRACAACTGATGTATCAATGCTTTACAGTAATGAACCTCAAAGAGCCGTGATAAACAATGTCAATCATTTGAAGACATTTAGCAGATGTGTTCATATACAAAACATCTCCATTATCCAACAGTGGTAAAAAAAAAAAAAGTAGCCTCCACTAGTCGCTTTTTCACATTAAAAGAAAAGCACAACTTGTTTCTGAAAGAAAAGCCTAGTTTTAGTCTGAGCCTCTTCACCAGTTTCCCCACATGGGGCTTAAAATTAAGGGAGTCATCAATCAATATTCCCAGATATTTATACACACGTACCTGCTCTATTTCAATTCCATCAAGTGTGGTCACTGAAGGAATCGAAAGAGGCGTTTTTCTGGCATTGGAAAACATGAGATTAAAACAAAATAAGTGAAAACCTGCATTGTTTCAAGGTTAATCACCTAAATCACTCGGTGGGGGTGAGGGGGTGGGGTCAGTTATCTGATAAATACAAACTACTTTACTATTTACTCATTTAAAATCAAGATGTTAAAGTAAGTCATTGGCAAATGACTGAGTTGTGTAACCCTGTCATCTATAGCAGT